GAAGTGTCCAAACTGCCTTGGGGAAAACGCAGGAAGATGTCGTCCAAGACGTCTCCCATAGATGCCAAACAGCAGTGGTCCACAGTGTTTTCCAGGTTGACTGAAATACTGCCACGGGTAGGAAAATGCAAGGTTCAAGATCCAGAAATCATGGAACTGGTTCAAAATCTCATTGGGGATAAACAAATTGAAGCCATGATAGCCTGCCGGGGTTCCAGCAGAACTTTAGCACCACCAGAACATCTTCAAAAGGGGGTTGCTCCTCTTCGCAGAAGTGTGTTCATCGAGCGAGGAACTGGGGAGATTCGGGCAGAGGATGACTCTGAAAACTGGGAAAACCTAGCCAAGCGTAACCTCATTAGACCCTCCCATGAGACTCGAATTAACCTCACAGTGTTTGCTAAGGAAAGGCCGCCTGCCGTGACACATGCATCACCCAACCAAGACAGTGCCCCGGCAGGGAATTTGCAAGGACCATCGGAGTCCAAAGATAATTCCAATGCATGCCGTGAGTCTGAGGGATCCGAAGAAATCCCGGCTCCGATATCCGAGACCACGCCACAGCCTGTTTTGTCACAAGAGCCCAGCCGTTCCCAGCAAGCTGACATCAGCAGCATGCAACAGAGTGCCCGATTTCGATCGCTACCCCGAGATGAACAGATTGCCCTGTTGCGGGCCCACAAGAATCTTGGTCATCCGAGTCCTGAACGTTTGAGTACCATTTTGCGTTCCCAGGGGTATCGGTCGGAAGTAGCCCAAGCAGCCCTAGAGCTAAAGTGCTCAATTTGCCAAGAGAGTTCAACTCCGAAACTTGCCCGACCGGGCAGCCTGAAGGAGGACTTGGACTTCAATGACAAGATCTCCATCGATGGTCTTGAATGGACAAACAAACAGGGAACCACTTTCCATGTGTATCACATTGTTGACTGGTCCACCAATTTTCATGTAGCCAGAGTAGCCCCAGACCGATCATCCTCATCAGCCATCCAAATCATCATCGACATGTGGATGTCATGGGCAGGTGCGCCAAGTGAACTACTAGTGGATGCCGCGACCGAGTTTAACTCAGAACAATTTTGCCAATTTGTCCAGAGTTATAACATTAAGCTAACCACTATTAGTCCTGAGGCTCACTTTCAAAATGGCCGTGTGGAAAGACATGGATCTATCCTAAAGACAATGCTGAATAAGTATGAAAGTGATCATGAGATAACCAGCTATCAAGACATGTCTCAAGCATTGTTCTGGTGTACACAAGCGAAAAACGCCAGCAGCCTCAAGAGAGGCTATGCGCCGGAAGTCTTGGTCTTTGGCAAACATAGTCGGTTGCCTGGAGCTGTCTGCAGCGATGAATTAATCCCAGCCCATCTTTTGGCAGAGTCAGAAACCGCTCATGGAGTGGCTTTCAGGCGACAACTTGCCTGTAGAGAAAGTGCTAGGAAAGCTTTCATTTATGCAGATAACGATTCAGCACTTCGCCGAGCCATGTTACGCAGGACACGACCAGGAGGTTTGCCATACTCACCAGGGGAATGGGTAATGTGTTGGAAATTGGGAAAAGGGGCCATGGAGGGACACTGGATAGGACCCATGAAAGTAGTAGTCCACGAAAATGCCCAAACTATTTGGACCACTCAAGGGAGTAAAATCTATCGATGTGCCCCCGAACATGTGAGACCCGTTTCCTCCAATGAAGCACGAATGATCCCTATCACGAGTAAGGAACCCTCAGTATCAATAATTGCCCAACAATTGCCGCAGTTGCCATCACAAGGAATCACTAGAGCCATCTTGAATCCTCCGGACTCAGGACTTCAGGACATGACAGGAACACCGGAACCTCCTGGACAGGACACCCAATCCGAGGTCCAACCGGATGATGAACCTGAAGCCCCATCACATAAATCCCAAAATTCCATAGCCAGTCATAATCCACCGAATGATAACCTCCATGATGAAACAGCGACACGACCATTCAAATACAAGCCATACCAGTTGATGATTTCCGATTTCTTGCGTTTTCCGATGCTTCGTTTGCTTCAAAGGGAAATCCCAGTTCTCACACAGGTTGCATGATCATGGGGACCCACAAACTAATTTCTCAGAATGTTTCGTGCCCAGTAAGCCCTCTGTCTTGGGGAAGCAAGAAGATTCAGAGAGTGGTGACAAGCACTCTGGCAGCCGAGACGGTATCATTAAGCTCAGTCTTAGACCATTTATCATGGCTGAGACTTTGTTGGGGCTGGATGCTTGATCCTTCCGTTCAGTGGAAGCAGCCTAGTGATGCATTGTTGAAACTTCCCGAAACATATTCCACTGCAACCTACAGGACACAGCATTTGCCGGAAAGCCTAGCAGCCACCGACTGTAAGAGCTTGTATGATCTAGTAACTCGAACAGCAGTCCCCAACTGCTCAGAATATCGAACACAACTGAATGCGAGAGCAATCAAGGATTTTCTTGCTGAAGGTGTACAGCTTAGGTGGGCACATAGTGGTGCACAATTGGCTGACAGTTTGACCAAGATCATGGAAAATTCATTTCTCCGTGCCACTTTGCATCACGGACACTACAAGCTGCACGACGAACTGGAAGTTCTCAAATCCCGCGCGACCACGCGCAATCGGCTTCGATGGCTTAAGGGTTCTGAACAAAAGGAATCCAATGACCAGGGGTGCAATGATGAATGTCTGTTGTCAATAAACAATGGATTTTTAGGAGTGTGAATTCCACATCATTGCAACTGATCTTGAGTGACCAGAACCTTTACCCACAGCCGTTCCGAAACCAGCTCTAATTCCAGGACCTCATGTCCACCTCAGCACCCTGGCTCAGGGAACCATAGGAGAGGTCAGCGGGAGGGATTCACATTTGGTGCTTGTTAGCCATAGACTTGCTACTTTTGGATTTGGTGGACGAGGTCGTCCTTGAAAGCCAGGGGCTTTGATCCGTTGTTGGTAAGAAGGCTGATATCGCCTTTTGCAATCCAGTTTTGGCCGCTCTTCAGAGAGCCTTGGGACTTTTGCATCAGCAGGAGTGTCTCTGGAAAAGAGGCGCGTGCCCGCGCTTTGGTGTCTTGGAGGGAGAAGCTGCCAGGTAGTTGTGGTCCTAGACCAACTACAATATGTATATATATATACGCGTGTATATATATATATATGTGTGTGTGTGTATGTATGTAAATATAAATCCGCCCGCACCGAAGGTGCTGGGGCGTGATCTTCCGGATGGCACTCGTAAAAGGTTACAGGTTTACCTGGGGGGGTGGGGGGCATTTTTCGGCCAAAACCTCCTGTTTTTGATAGGTCGTGACGCTCGCCTTCAAAAAACACTGTAAAAAACAGTACGGAAGACACCTGTTCGTGAACGCGCCCGTCCAAAATCGGCAAGCGAAAAGTGAAAAAAAACCGTGTTTTTCAACTTTTTGACCTCAATTTTTTGGTTTGCAACATCTTTTTTTGCGGTTCCGCAGGTGGCCGGGCCCGGAGGCGGATTTTTGAGTTTTTGGACCCGTTTTCGGACTGATTTTCGTCGTTTTGTGATAGCAGAAACACTGGTTTTTACAGTGTTTTTCTGTTTTCTGCATGCTTGACGGCTAGCTTCAAAACTTCCAAAAACCTCGTAAATTACGCTGTTTTATGTTACGGTGTGAATGAAAACATCGTAAATACCAGTGTTTTTTGACGTTGGTTAAAAAAACGCTGTAAATTACAGTGTTTTTGGCCACCTGACCCTCAAAAACCATGGTATTTGCAGTGGTTTCTGCTTCTCACCGCGCAAAAACACTGTAAATAAGAGCAATTTCGCCGTTTTTTCATGTTTTTCGTTATTTTTTGAACTGCGTTGGTCCGCTATACATGGCTATCAAATTCTTCGCGTGTTTTTTTCCGACAATCAGTACTTTCGGATGTTTTTGGTCTCAATGGCCGACATCATTGGCAGTTACGAACGATGCGGTGCGGGCGGTTGCCGTCGCGAAGCGACGTGAATATGCATATGTATGCATGCATGCACGTATGTACGTATATGTATGTATATGTATGTGTATGTATGTGTATGTATGTGTATGTATGTGCATGTATGTGCATGTATGTGTATGTATGTGTATGTATGTGTATGTATGTGTATGTATGTGTATGTATGTGTATGTATGTGTATGTATGTGTATGTATGTATGTATGTGTGTGTGTATGTGTGTGTGTATGTATGTATGTATGTATGTCTGTATGTCTGTATGTCTGTATGTCTGTATGTCTGTATGTCTGTATGTCTGTATGTCTGTATGTCTGTATGTCTGTATGCCTGTATGCCTGTATGCCTGTATGCCTGTATGCCTGTATGCCTGTATGCCTCTATGCCTCTATGCCTCTATGCCTGTATGCCTCTATGCCTGTATGCCTGTATGCCTGTATGCCTGTATGCCTGTATGCCTGTATGCCTGTATGCCTGTATGCCTGTATGCCTGTATGTCTGTATGTCTGTATGTCTGTATGTCTGTATGTCTGTATGTCTGTATGTCTGTATGTCTGTATGTATGTATGTATGTAATGTATGTAATGTATGTAATGTATGTAATGTATGTAATGTATGTAATGTATGTAATGTATGTAATGTATGTCGTACGTACGTACGTACGTACGTACGTACGTACGTACGTACGTACGTACGTATGTATGTATGTATGTATGTAATTTATATGTTTGCATATATTTATATATGTATGTATGTATGTATGTATATGTATATGTATATGTATATGTATATGTATATGTATATGTATATGTATATGTATATGTATATGTATATGTATATGTATGTATATATATATATGTATATGTATATGTATATGTATATGTATATGTATGTATATCCATGTATATGTATGTATATCCATGTATATGTATGTATATGGTTGAATATGTCTATTTATGTCCAATGTATATATGTCACATATAGATGAACCATGCGCAACGTCTGCCAGTGTCCACTCGAACCCCGTCCTTCAATGCGGAGCTGTAGTGCAGCTCCAATTCCCTGACCGCTCGAAGCCGCGAGAGTAGGAAGATGTTTTTGCTCACGCGGCGATCCTGGCGCTACTGGCGAGTTTCTGTAGGGCTCAGCCGGGTTCAGCCATAGAAAGTGCTGAGTTCACAAACAGAAATGGGATTTCATTGGGTTTTGAAATTGTCCAGAAGTCAACCAAGGTTCAACACTGTTTCGGGGCTCAGAAATAGGGCACAGTGATTTTCCGTATCTCCCTCAAGCGCATTTTTGTAGGTGACTGATTGAGCAACACCCAACATCACCTACCTGGTGGCAAAAATTCAACTGGTGACTAGCCAATTCCTGACAAATCGCGGCAACCAAATATAACCAAACCCAGCCTCCATTACACAGCATGCGGATGGAGATAGCCACTCGCCCCGGTACAGGTTGCTTTGCAGTTGTTGCTTCCTCAGGCCATTTTGTCGTCATCCAGAGGTCATCTCCGACCCACTGTGACTCACTGAACCGTTGGACTTCGTTGGACCAAGAAGCTTGGTGAGTTTGGTCTCATTCGGCACAAAGATCAGTTTCTCATCTTGGTCCTATGACTCACCAGTGCTCATCCCAAGAGAAACCGGCACAACAGAACGGGAGCTCATGGGGTAGACACTTTGCTTCAAAAAACTTCGTCTTTACACTGTTGTGCAGTGAGAAAGGGTCTGAAACCCAGGTTTTGGAGCAAAGATACTTGAGTTTTCTGGATGCCATCATTCAACCATATTCCAACATGTCCATTTTGTCTAAGTTTTTGAGCCAAACAAAAACACTGCCCATGGTGCCCCGCTCTCTTTTAAAACCATGGCTGGACTAAAAAACAACTTCCCCTTCCTGATCCCCTATTCAATCACTGGGAAGAAAACAAATCTTGGTTGCGTGCGGAATGATATCCCCTCAAATCAATCCATTGACCATCATCTTTGGCGATTTAAATCCCCATTTGTGAGTACTTAAATCATCGCAAATAATCCCATTTTTGGGTGGTTCAATCACCCTTTTTTTTGGCAGCAAATTCTCCCCAAGCCATACCCGTCCTTCAAGGCCGCCTCCACTTCCAGACATCTGCGATGCTGCTGAAGCAAGTGCAGGCTCTGATAGGCGCTGGTCATCTCGCCCTCCGTGCTTTCGAACCTTAGAAGCCGATTGGCGCAGCAGGCATACCCTCTACTCAAAGCTATAGCTATGGGAATGGCCATGGCCCATTTATATATACATGATTTTACCATATTTTACCCGATTTGACCCATAAAAATGGTGATCTTCCACTATGGCTGTCAAACTAACAGTGGGTATGAGTTAGTATTATCCATTTAAAGCGACGATTGATGCTGAAGGCATTGGAAACTGGAATAAGCTGGTGCTGCTTCCGCGCCATGTCAGGGGCACCGAATATGTTCTTCGGCAAATTTTGTCAACGTCACCATCGGGGCAGGATTCGGGTGGAATCTGGCACTTCCATGCATTTTCTTTCTGAGCCGCTTCAGCTCACTCCAAGAGTTGATACAGTACGTTTTGATACCACCATTGATGACGTGAAGCTACCTCAAGCAGCACGTCCTGGGACAACACCAGCCTCCGGCCCCTTGGTCCCTGACTTTGTCGTTGACCAGTCCCGAAGCAGTTCAAGAACATCCTCCAAACCGTCTTGGTGCTTTGACATTTGGCATCTGGGAATGTACATTGACAATTTGCGGGACAACCCTGCCAAAAAATGACATGACTCCCAACTCTGGGAACTCACCTCTAGATCCTCCTAGTCTTAGGCTGATCTGCAACTTATGTGCAGTCGACATCTTGTCTTGTGCACAGGCTATGCCTGTGCACGAGCTACAAATGGCCAATCTTAGTCCATCAAAAAGCTTGGTTTTAGTATGTTTTAGTTGGATATCAATCGTTGGCGCCATGTCTGGCTGAAAATTGAGCCCCTTCGCCATGCACCATGAAGTTAGTATACCAATCATCTACTTGCTTGAATGGCAGTCATTGTTGATAGATTTTATAGATTTATAGGCTATGGGGCATATTAGGGGCTATGGCTAGCGGCTAGATCCCTACCATTCCCCAACTCACCTCGCACCTTGGCAGAAAGTTGCTGCGCACCCAGCTGCTTCAACATTTCACGGAAGCTCAGCTGACAGCAGGGTGCCTCACCTGGGGCAGCTGTCGGTCACAACGGGTGACAGAGGGAAGCCACTGATGTTTGAAACGGTTGTTTCACCATGGTTTGGGGATGTGTCTGATCAATTTTGATCATCAGATGCATGGTTTTTTGACGCTTTTTTGGGGTTCATACGTGTTCCCTTTATCCCATGTCCAATGCAATTGAAATCTTGAAGAATGGCATGCACGTCCTATCGAAACTAATTTTCCGGTAGCCCGGCATGGGACACTTCCATATCTTCCATCAAGATCCCAAGCTCACTTTTGAGGCTTTATATTGGCAAGTGAGTGTTCAGGCTTTTCACCTCTCCACATCTCAAATCCATCCTTGAATTTGCCTTGAATTTCTGATTTTCGTATCACCTTTGGGACATCTCGATCCAAATCATTCCAAGTCCCAGTGGCCAACCAACACCAGGTGTTTCTCCAAAAATCTCTTCACCTCCGGGGTCAGCTTCGAGTCCGGTGATGGCATCTGTCCATCCTCCCAGAGGAACCGCGCATGGCAGGGCTTGCAGCTCCTGCCACTGCCCTGCACCCAGCTGGAATTCGTCATGAGAGCCTTGGAGTCGGCTGTTGCCGGTGGATGGATGTTTCGGAGCCAAATTTTGAATGCAAGAAGCTTGCTTCAGTTCCCTTCATGTTTCTTTAACGTCAAGACGCCGCGATGGATGATGGACAGCTCTTGCTTGTGGCTTTCAAGGTGAGGCTGGCCGCAAGATGGTCACGTAACTCCACCACGTAGGACGCCACCAGCAATCTGCGGACGTCACTTCCGCTGTTCAGCGCCGCCGCGAGGGCCCGAGAGTCGAAGTCGACGACGTCCACAGTTTGGGCCAAGATGTTGGAATCCTCAGCTGGTTTTCGTCCATCGTTTTTCGAGGCAGCGAAGCTGGGGGGCCTCGAAGGGATTGGCCATGACATGCAACAAATGGAGTGACACTGGACACCACCTGGTTCGTTTCTATCTTTGGACACCGGTCATGGCTGTTTCGGTCAAGTCGAACAAGAACTTCCTGTGGTTAAGCGCTGTGTTTCTGCCTGCGGGGTTTCTTTCAAGCACATCCGCGAAAAAAAAACGGTAAAAATCGAAAATATTACAATATGTTTTTCTTTTTTCCCAGCAGGGGGTACAAGCGTACACCCTGTAGGCCAAACACGGCCGTGAACCTGCTTAGAGAACTTCAGAAGGTGATGCTGTTGGGTAATGTTGGGGATGATCCCAATTTCAATCTGGTTCTGCAGAGCTTTGCCCACACTTGGATCATCGATGCATCAGTTGTTTTCAAAAAGACCTCGTTTGCAGCGCATGATGCTTGCCATTGCTGGTGCTGCCTTCAAAGGATGCTGGTTCTATTGGCAGCTGCCGACTGCCAAACATGCAGACCAAAACCACTTGGACCTCAAGCCCGAATCATCCCCGCTCAACCAGCTACTCTACCTATGATTCAATGATTCTACCCATACAATCCCCCATAATATCACCATTCTTATCATCTAGCATTCTACCGAATTCTACCCCTCATATAACACCCACCATCCACCACCAAGCCCAAGTTTCCACATCCCGCGCCAGTTGCTCCGCCACTTCCTTGAGCTGCGGCTTCTCACGGCCCAACTCCCCCAGCGTTTGGCTCTGCCGCAGCCGCTGCACGGGGAAGCCGCCCATGGTCACACCGCAGTGCTGCGCCAGGAACTGGGCCAGCTGCCGGGGGGCCAGCTGCATCTCATCAGCCGCTTCCAACCTGGAACCCCCAGCTGCCCCTGCTGTTTTTTGATGGGGCTTCAGTTGATGGGGTGCAGAAACCCATCTGACCAACACAAGTGAGTGACCTATGGTACTATGGATGCTCTGATGGAGTTTTTTACAATAGTGGAAATCTTGAGGGCAGGTAGGAGAAATCCATCACTAAAGTCCACTACCTTTTTCTTTTGGCGGTCCCGCCAGCACCGGTGGCAACTGGCCACGACAAACATCGACAAACCCATTTCTTGTGGTCATTATTCTGGTGGTTTCAGTATTGTGTAATCGATGGCTTGGCTTCACTACGTTATCCATATCCCGACCGGCAGGCATAGTAACAGAGTATCGCCTATTTCTAGATGGATTACCCCATCTTCATCCATTGTGTTCCATTTTCAATGTTGAACATTGGTTTCAACATGTTTCAACATGAAAAACAGGTGTTCCGTATCTATTCCATATCTATAGACACCTTCGAACCACCAACGACATCCCCGTCCCAGCCACAGCTGCGGTGCCGTCACTGCGGTCGTCTCCACCTCCGCCAGCACCTTGTGCGCCTGCGCGCGGTCGCTCTCCCCCCGCTGCTCCGCGTCTGTGGCCAGCAGCAGGTGGAAGGTGCTGGACAGAAGTGTGGGGACTGAAGAGGCCACGGGTTGCAGCTGCAGCTGGCCGTCCAGGAGGATCGGAAGCTTCAACCAGGTCCTTAGTTGAAACATGTTGAGCTGATGGGGTTCGAACTGAAGTCTGGTGGCTGAGGTATGGGTTGTAAACCGTTGTATGTTACCATGGTGTCCTCGAGCTCACAATCTGGACTGTTTCAGCATCCCAACTCCCAACTACTAAGTTGGCTAGCAAACGCCCTCACCCAGAATATCCAGATCTGTTCATAGCTGTTTCAGTGGGCTATGACCATTATGATTTCTCAGTTTCTTACTGGGATGAACATCCAAGCATCATTGCTGCTTGATCGAAGATCCATAGAAAACCAGTTTATATATGTGGTGGCAAAACTGATAGATTCCGGATGCCTCCGGACTCCGGATGTGTCTGGTCTAAATTGCTTTCTGTGAAAATCTGCAGGAAACTAGGGAAATTCCCGGTCAGATATGGGGTTTCACCCGCAATTTCCCACCATTTTTGGTGTCCAACCTAATTCGAACCTCCGAAACTCACAGCAAGTGAACCTGTTTCCTGGGTTTACCCCCTTTACCAGCAAACTAACATATATATATATATATGTAGAATCCATTGAAGGACACCACTACACCACAAGTTATGCCTCACTTCGAAACCTAACTATTGATTCTCCATCAGCTTATCCCAGTGCATCTCCGCCAAGCTTCTGCAACGCCTCTTCGAAAGTCTGCCGTTTGAACTTCCGCGCCCAGCCCTCAGCACACTCCGCCATGCGAACGGAGGCCAAGTAGGCGATGCAAAGGGACACGGTTCGGACCTCCTGCAGCGGGTGGGAAACGGTGAAGTGACTGGGAGCCCATGGGGGCCCTTTAATCTTACCATCCGAAGAAATGTTCGAAACATCTGTCAGGGATCATCAATTCCAAATAGGATTCAAAATGTAAATATCAATAACCACTCAAATGGGACAACTGTCAGGCAGCAAGAACTGGTGAGCGAGGGACCAGTTCATGTGCCTTTTCCAAATGGAAAAAATGTGCGTAGCTCTGTTAGGTAACTGGACATTAACTTGTCATTTAGATTGTAACGCCCATCAATCAAGCACACGTCTATGGATACGCATAGGTATGTGTGCTTTTATAGAGCATAAATACATTCATATGTGTCTGTAAGCGCAGCTTATGTACGTGTATTGCATGCTTTCTCATATATATATATATTCTCATATATATATATATATATATTCTCATATATATATATATATGTGTGTGTGCATGTATATATACATATATACACACAACTTATCGTATAATTAATATTTCATATTTATCCCGGAGTCTGTTTCACCCAGTTCCTGTTCTCCATGCGTCGCTTCTCCCAACTTTTCCAGCAACGGCATCACCCCCTCCAGCACCACCGCGTCGGGCGACAAGAGCCGCAGACCCAAGTGGTCCAACAAACGGCGAACCAGCTGACCGTCCTGCGACCACATAGTAAACACAGATAGCTTGGGCCCCTTGGGCCACTATAGATGATACAGACTTAAGTATGATCGTTAATGATCGTTAATGATCGTTGTGTGCAAATTTGTCTATTGTTGGATATCCATTTAAATCATTTAAAATTATATACACTCTATAGATCTATAGTCAGTTTGGTCAACTATAATGTGATATTTATGTGTGTGTGACAGTCTCTCAGCGCAGATTAATGGTTGGGAAAGTATAGTTCTAGCCATCTGATGATTGTTCTTCATTCGTGATATTATGAGTCATTGCAAATCATCATCCCAAGAAAGGTCCCAAATGTCTGTTTTGACTCACTGACCGCTGTTCTATCCCTACTGACTCCATGGTAGTGCGGTTCAGGTTTGCAACTGCCACAGTTTAAAATTGCGATACTGTACAAGTTCTAACGTGCCACAATTCAGGGCTGGGTGCTGAAGGTGTCATTCAGACCGTCCATGGAATAAAACTGGAAACATGCAGGTTAAAAGAAAAAACCCTGCAGGGAGTCCTTCCCCTCAAAGAGCTCAGGGGAGACGATCTTCAGATCCAAGCAATCCAGCAAAGCCTGCGGAAAGCTTTGCTGGATTCTGTCGGGCAAGAACCTTAGGCCACTTCCAGGCTGCATCCGATGTTGAGACGCCATGTCACATGGCCGCAACGAGGGCATCAACAGCAATGACCATGACCGCCTTGAACCCCCATCTCTGTTGTTTCAATATCTTCAATCCCCACCTTTTGGTTCATGTTTGTATCTAAGATATCTATGTCAAACAGTCCAATCAAATCCAATCAATCCATCCATCTTTGTTCCTCCAAGTCACAGCCCCTCCTCCGCCACCGCCCCACGCTGCGCGGCATCGTCCACCAAGCCCGGTGGTCCCGCGATCGTGCTGCGCTGCAGCGGCAGCAGCCGCAACTTCTTCAGCTTCTCCAGGCGCAGCGAGTCGCTCACCGGCACCTCGTCCTGGAGCTTCGGATGGATGATCTGGAAAGTTGATGAAAGTTGAAGGCGGAGTTGTAAGGAAAAATTGGTGAACCAACATGAGGATGCTGTTGGAACAAATCTATAATTGACACTCATCTCAGTAATCAAAAATGTTTTTTATGCGGAAAAATTGGTGTCTGGTGAATCTTGGTGTTGTTATCTCAACACTAAGCTCAGCTTTTGGGACGTGAAGCCATGGTGGAACACACTCAAATGCGGTACAACATGATACAACCATTTCCCTCCATAATCCTCCATAGACAATCACATGGCCCATCTCAGTCATCATGTCCATGACATACCCCCCATTATTGGAGCGCATCTCGCCTGATGGCCGCCCCACATCAAGCTGTAGCACAGCGCCAGGACTTGTCGCACAAAGCCCACGGACAAGACCTCGTTGCCCTCGGGGCTGCCCACCATGCCAGTGAGCACCGTCAGAAGGACGTCCAAGGCGGAACCTGGCGTCCTGGCAAGGATGGGAGGCTCCAAGCAGCATGACCTATGAAGCGGTATGAAGCGGCTAAACATGCCATGGACAATGGCATGAATTGATAGGGGCTAATGGGTGTATTCATCATATTCATCTATGGATCAAGCCACAAAACCTCTGAGCCAAGCGGTTTCATGGTCAGTGCCAAGAACTCCCAGCGGCCCGGCCTGACTCCCAAATGCTGAAGGGTCTTCGCAGAGAGGCCTGCTCCAAAGTCCGAATGCATATAGCCTGGGCACCGAAAAAGGCTGCAAGGGGATGACACACTTGGACGACCATTCCGCCGAAGGCACAAACTAGAAATCAGAAAAAGATCCCATCAACATGGCAATCGAACATTCAGCGGGAATACAAAATACATATATATATATACATATAACTGTACCTGTACATGCACATTGAAAATACATGAACGTATTTTATGTATGTATGTATATATATATGTATATGTGTGTGTGTGCATACATACATTTGCAGATGCACATGCATATGAATATGTCTATTGTCGTACATCATGATGATATTATACATGTACATACGTCGATGCTTTGATAGGTTAGTAGTTCATACCTTTGGTCACTGCTCATGGTCTGACAAATTCAACCACCGGGGACCATCTCTCAGACGCGAAGGATTGAAGTTAGTTCGGGGCGTCCTATTCGCTTCTTGGTGCTACCAATCAATTATCTATTGGTTTTGTCGCCATTTTAGTTGGTTGAATTCCCAATTTCAAAGCATGGCAAAAATGGATCAGCATCTTTCCCATTCAAGAATTCTAAACCAAAGGCCGTAAATCCCTTATTTTTGGATGTACCATGGTGTATTCCTAGCCATCAAATGCATTACCCATCCACCAGCCCCTTTGAAGAAGCAACAAAGTCCATCATGGAACTTTGCCAAGATTTCCGGCCCGATCACCTGACGTGAGCACCCGGAATCACACGGTGATGGGCTGGGTCTGTATCAATCATCAAATTGGGATTTCAATCGCAAGAGAACAAGGTATCTACCAGGCGGAACATGGTTACAAACATGTATATAAACTATTATAAACCCAGTTACACCCCATTAAACAAGATAGCACAGGCGTGGTGGCCATTGCAACTTCCGTAAGGAACATGGACCCCAAGGGCCTTCTTCATGACTTCGGGTGCTTGAAAAATGTAGCACGGCTGCATCCAACATCCTTCCGCAGACCTGAGCTGGTTCACCCAACAGCTCTCAACTGCCCCGCCTGAACAGAAAAAGCAAAGAGCCTGGCAAACATTTCTGCGCGCCGTTTAAGAACTGAACGCCCTAAACATGTATTTATGGTTTGATAATGTTTGGGCATGTTTGGTATATACTATGCATTTGCATGCACATTTGTACGAATATCTATGGTGTGCATGTGTGTGTGTGTGTACTGTATATCTATCTATCTCATCTCACCTCACCTCACCTCACCTCACCTCATCTCATCTCATCTCATCTCATCTATCTATCTATTCGTGTATGTATAACATCCCTGTCTCAGAATGTGTGCCCGCCCAGGCTCGGTCGGGCAGTGAGACGTGTTAATGTGTGCCCTTCAGAACAGAGAGCGCCCGCCCTTCCCATAACATCCCATGACTCAGAGTCGGTTCACAGGACGCACTTCTCCTCCTTGAGCTGGTGCCAAATTTTTGCCTCTGTCCCTGCGAAGAAGTCGCTGGCACCAGCGCCACCACCCAAATCTCCATGCCTCACTTCTTGGCTTCTGGACCAGGCCGGTGGAGATTACTACATGGCATGGCAATGGGATGATTGGTTTTTTCGCATGATTTTCTAGCATTCTAGCGGCTGTGTGGCCATTTTACCTGGTTTG